GCGCGGATTAGTTGCAGCACACGACTAGTGCTCTGGCTTCGACAGCGGCCAAATTCGGGCTCACCATCAACACAAGCAAAACTGTCTGTCTCTTTCAGCCTTCACCGGAGGTGCTATCTTCAATATGCCGCGAATCAGTCTTGGTGCTGAAGTATTGGCAACCACCCCCCGTTTCTGCTACCTTGGGAGTGTGATGTCGACTGATCAGCAGCTTCACAGTGACCTGCATATTCGCGACTCGGAAGCAGCGGCGGCATTCGGGTAGCTAGAGTACTGAGTGTGGAATAACCACCAGCTTACCGTCGGCACAAAGCTGATGGTATACAAATCCATGGTGCTGTCCGTTTTTCTATACGGCAATGAAACCTGGACGATGTACCGTCGGGATGTGCGATATCTCGAGCGGTTCCATCAACAGTGTTTGCGACGGATTCTGCGCGTTAGATGGGGCAACATAGTTATGGACACAGAAATGTTGCGCCGAAGTGGAATGTATGCAGCGGACTGCATACTATTGCTGAGACACTTGAGGTGGCTCGGTCACGTGTGGCGCATGGATTCGACTCGGATACCGAAGCAGCTATCATATTGTCAGCTGAGTGTGTGAAAACGGTAAGCGAAGAAACAGGAGCTTCGTTACCAGGACATGATCAAAGTGAGCCTATCACGTTCTAATATCTTATTGTAGATTATGGGAATCGAAAGCGGTTGATCGGCGTATACGGCGCAATCTGTTCACGAAGGCCGTTGTCGAGGTGCAAGAGAAAGCCTTTATGCATGCACAGAAGACGGGGGAGGTGTGGAACCGACAGGCACCGATGGGGAGTACTTCATCGGCGTCGAGCGCACCGTGCTGTAGCACAGGCGGTCGCGAGTGCCTGCGTCAGGCAGGCCTAGTGGGCCATGAGCGAAGCCACTCGGGGCCAATACCGAAATGACGACGAGTTCTGCTGAGCCCGTAGGCAGAACCGGCGCAGCATTTGTACGTACGCTGCATTCGATTTACTAACGTGTACTTGCGTACTGAGTTTCGTTATTTCAAGTGGTGGATTTGCTATTCTTTCCCAATGCATACCTTTTTACCTCACCTTAACGTCTACCTGAAGTTGCACACGTTGCTTAAGCTAATTGTGGTTAAGTTCGCTAACATTTTCGCGTTTGTGGTATTTTAAACTTATTTTTTCTAACATCTTGCGCTTATCGCGGATTCGTTGGTAACCAGTCCATTAAATATGCGCATTTAGCATAGATGGATGTCAGAATTCCTTTATGGTTTATTCGATATTTATTATTTGTTATGCTCATTTCAACTGATTGGCTGTTGTTTGACATCCCCGGCGTGGCTACGGTTGATGTGCATGTGGATAAGGTGGCTACTTGTCTAGTACCCCCTACCTCGTCTGTACTGGCTCCAGGAGACAGTTGGTCGTTGCTGGAGGGGACGGGGTGCACGGTCCTTTTGATCGTACTAGGCTCGAAGAGTGGTTCCATGCACTCAGCTTGGAGTGGACTACGGTTCAACCAGCGACTTGTGTGCGCTTGATTCCCCAAATACCGCGCGTTTGTGTTTGCCTGTGAAGGAGTGTGGGCCGGCTCCTTTGATGCAACGTGGCTCCCATCCACATGCCTCCTGGTCTTGTTCCTTCGGGTTTACACTGGATATGAGGTGCATGGGTAGTGATGTGGGTGGTGCAGCGCAAACCACCCATGATATCTGTGTAGGCGCAGGTGTCCTGTGGCTGTCCTATGGAGGTCACAGTGACACACAAATCTGGAACCGAATGCCGTCAAACATATAGTGCACATGACAATTTTAATGAGTTGTCGGCCTCGTGCTATCTCCCATCTTCTATTCAATCGTGGCCATGGATGCGACTGCTGGAGGCAGGATTAGTGTGCCACGCAAGGACACACAGTCTATCTTCCATGTGATTTTCATGGAAAAGGAAACTTAGTTTTACGGGTATAAAAACATGGATATATATATATATATATATATATATATATATATATATACATATATATTCTCGATGTTACACGAGGCACACCAAAGGAGCATTTCAATGAGAAGTTGCAGTTGGGAATCGTGTTCTGAGATAAAGTCACAAGTAATCAGTGGTCTCGTTTAATGAGATGTTAGTGGATAGAGACTGCATATCAAGCAAACAATTTCGCTGCTGGGCTGCATTTGTACATTATAACTAGGGAAGCAGTTCGCATGTGTTTGACCAATTTCATTTAAAACACTGTCCCCTTTGAACGGCAGAATTAAACAAACTTCCTTTTTCCGCCTTTTGTACTGGTGGCTTATCTTTGCTGCGTCTACTGCTTAACTGAATAAATTTCTCCGGATACCCGTTTGACAAAAGAGTCCTATGTAGGAACTCTTCTTCACTCTGCAGCATCTCTGGACTGCAAATACGCCTGGCTCTGTAGTAAAGGGTTCTGACGAGAACGCGTTTGTATGCAACCGGTGCGAAGCTGGTGAAATGCATGTATTGCCCACTCCGTGTTGCTTTACTCTAGACAATGCTTGCCTTTTCATCAGAACAGCAAAATACCCTGCCGTTTTCATTCTCATCAAAAGGCCAGCCGGAGGTACACTCTAACGCACTGTCTACCGTAAAACAACTCGCGTGTCTAAGGATCCTTCACACAACACGGACTGGTGTCCAACTACCGTCCGGACAGTTCGTTAGCCGGTATGGCCTCTCATAGTATTTACCAGTTCACCTGTAGTTGAGGTGACGTCTATGTAGGCAGGACCGACCGGCGACTGGCTAAATGGGTGGTTGAGCGTTTCCCAACAAGTTTGAAGCAACCCATGGTACAACACGGGATGATGGAGCAACTGAAGAGCCGGAACCCCGCCTCGTCTATTATAAAACACTTGATGACAGGCCATCACGTGGATGCATCGAAGGCCTACCAAGTGCTATTGACCAACCGCTACTCGAAAATGCTGGCAATCAGTGGGGCATTACTGATTGCGGTAAACTGGTCGGTATTGTGCGTGTAAAAGCAACTGAGGCATTCTATCAGATCGCGTTGGTCTTGCTTGCTCAACTTTGATTTACCAGTATAATTTCGTTCCACTTGCACATACGTTAACTTTTTACCCAAAGGCATTAGCTTTGCGATTGTCTGAGTGCCACTGAGTGGTTGTTCGTCCCCAATACGTGCCACTGGCCGAGGACACTGTGATTTACAACTGCTATGTGTGAATTCTGCGCCTACATTATTTATACTTTCTGTACTCTTGTTGCATCTGAATGCCTCAATAACTTATTTCGTCTACCGTTCTTCGTTTTCTCCCACTTACGGATATTCGTTACTTACGTGGTGTTAGTCTGATACACTACACTGCAGGTACCCACTGATTTTAGCACCCTAGATTCAGCTCCAGAGACAAAGCCATGAAACTGAAGGACATGCAATTCTCTACATAACTGCTACTTGACCAATCAGACAGTATCAACTAAGTATCCGACGTTGGGAAATTGCATATAGCATGTATTTGTGTGTTTCTTGGTAATAAAATGACTGTTTACAACGGGGGAATGTGGCACAACACTGGACCGGCCGAAATGCCCACATTTCCGACATTTGGTAAAAAGCTTCTGAGCATGAGTACACTATGCGGAATGACTGTACTGCAAGCCGCAGCGTGTGAACGAACGCTTGGTTTTTGTCATTTTTGTTTCCTTCGGCCGGGGAATATTCGGCAAACGGTTTTGAATTCAGGCGCGAATTCTGAAAAAGCTGGGCATTAATTTCAACAGCCTCCATGCTCGTTGCAATATCATAGACACTTTCCAAAGTCAATACCTTATCAACCAACGGACAACGTTGAATGCGAACGCTTTTACTCTAACAACGAGATGATCGCAGCTCATGTCTTTTCTGTAGTTGTAGAAATCACAAGATTCCGCTAAGTTCCGAAGTTCGGTAACGAAGAAAGCAAATGACTCCCTCTCACGCTGAACGCGGGTATTGAACTTATATCGTTTCACAAATGCTGATGGTTTTGATTTTGTAGTAGTTAATAACCAAGGTGACCAGGACACCAAACTTTTGGATGTGTACTTAATTCGGAGTCACCAGGCTGCGAATTACTTGTTATGTTTGTCAGGCACAAACACTCAGTAAGTTGTTCACTATATGGTTGTCACTGACAATCTCATGCACCGAGAAAAACAATCCAGCTAATTAATGGAATGGTTTCGATAACTAGATCGCTCAGTGTACTCTTTCCTTTTTCCAGTGAAGGCCTTGGTGGATTGGACTAATTCGTCACCAGTATTGTAAGAACCCAACACATAAGAGGACACGGCTTTAAGGTGCGCATAGGCCAAATAATGGTCAGCCTGATTATACGCAATCTTATTCGTACATGAATCATGTAAATCGCCCGACTGATAGTGGCTTGTGATAGCCAATGACAACACAACCACTGATGAAGTGGAAGGAAATTGGGTGTTATCAGCTCGGAAACACAGTACCCCACGTCCCGTTTCGATCATATTTAATCGCAGCAGGTACAAATAGAAAGCATAGAACCTGGGACCATTGGTAGGTTTGCTAGGACTTCTTTCGCTAAGCCACCAGGTCACGAGGGGCAACACTTGGCTGTGCTTCCAAGAACCAGATCCCTCAGTGCACTTTTGCCATTGTCCGATGGAGGCCATGGCGAGTCCGACTAATCAGTTGCCAGCATTGTGAGTAAGAACATGACATGCAGTAGGTCGCAGCTGTTGTGTTTATACACGGCCACGCGGTTTTATTCACCTCAAAAGTCACATACTTCCCCCGATGAACAGTGGCTTGTGGTAACCAGTCCCAATACCCAACAACCTGAAAGTTTCGAGGGGAGAGAGTGCATACGCTACCTTTCTGGGTGGTGCTGACTGTCGTTCTGTGCCTGGTTGAAAGTAAAGCAAGTTAAGCTATTCAAATCATTTGCTATATCTTTATAAACAGTATGGACCGGTTGAACTTACCTCATACGTTCTGGCCCGATTTAGTCCAATGTTGGTTTCATAAAATAGATGGCCCAAACGATCATTGGTGTAGTTTACTACCAAGTCGAACAAACTGGCCGGTGTCTGTGACGATGCTTTTCGAGCACCGAGAGCTGGAGCTTGAAGCCCGAATGGATCACAGACGAAAATTTGCGCGCACACTGGGGACGGAATATCCCCTGTTCTGGATTGTGCAGTCGAGAAATCCGATGACAGGCAGCTGCGGGTGACGGAATTGGAATGAATTTTTTCGGGCGAAACGAACGCCATGGGTGACAAGAGTAACGACATTCTAGAACAATGTAACTAGTCTAAAAACAAAGAACGTTGCTTTAAGTGAAGCACGAGCAGTATCTGATAAATTGGCATAGAATTACAACCAGTTCCAGCCACAAGCCAATTTGGCATTCAGGGAATTCACAACATTTATGCTATAACAAACCGGTTCCGGAACAACCGAACATCACCAGGCACCAGGGTTTTCGTGACGAATAGCTGTGCACCATTCGGAGTTGTAATCTCTTCGACTACGGCAGTTTATGAGATCGGTGTACTTGAGTCGACCGATCCCATGACATTACTTCCTCACTCGGACCGATGACAGCAAAGTGTCAAGTTTTCGTCCATGTAGTTGGAAGGTGATGATACAACGGCAGCCACATATCCGTCATCTGTGCACTATCTTCTGGGAACCATGCCACTGTAATTGGTGGTGTGGCTAAAACATCCATATAGATCACACCATGCATGTGCATCTTAAATAGGCTCGTCTGGTTCACTCGTTTGTTTGTGGCTGCAATCGGCAAGTTCCGTTCTGTTAATATGACTTGATACACCCGTAGGTAGATCAAGGGAACAGTTTACGCCGAGCTCAGTGAAATGAGTGTGCCGACCCATTTTGAAGGTTAGTTGCATAGGATTCTCTAAACCAGGCATTCTCAACCTTTATTCTGTCATGCCCCCTATTGAAACTTTCCATTTTTCTCATGGCCCCCACCCTTGATTATTACAATTTCAGCAATGCGCAAAGCCTACCAGACATTCAGCTGTCATTTCCAGTGGTCTTATTGGTATCTTTTGCTATGTTGGCTGAATTTTTAATGTTGGTATCATTGCGCTTTTGCTAATATATAATACGTTCGAACTTTCACGGCCTCAAGATAACTCGTTTTGCTGCAACATCAAGCCACTTGTTGGTACTTACACGAAAGTCATCATTAATAGTTCATAGTGCTTTTAATTATTGTTAGCTTTTAACTGCAAAGTATGTGATGTGTTAAGCAATATGGTAACGTCTTCACAATTTTTCTGTCAAAATATTAATGCGAGCCTTAGCGTGATATCACTGAACTAGTCTGCTTATGCCCGGCTCTAGACTTGACAACCATAGTCGCAATATCTCATATTGCTGTACTGTCCATTCTGATCCTGTTTTTTGTAAGCGAGACCCCTCTGCTGAATCCACATTCAGACAAGTATGTGAATGGGAAAGCAACGGAATACTTTTCAGATATTTCCCACTGCCTGGGATATCCGCTTGGGTCACCAGTCTTTATCCAACAAATCCCTTTTATATTGCATGAATTAGGAACTTGCTAGTGTGTCACATTGAACCACCATAAGACTTTCCTGGATATTAACTCCAACATTGCAGGGCTTTACAAAAATGTACCTAAAATCCAAATCGGGATTTCCATGTCATGCAGGTCAGGAAAACTGTCGTTTATTTCTTTTCGGTGTTATCGTAAATGACTGGCATAAACAATCAAGTCTGCATCGTTCAGCTCCTCCGTAACTACAGCGAGAACTGGGGACTGTGAAAATTCCCGACCTTTTGAGTGACAATGGCCTCTTTGCTCGAGATGAGATTAATCAGCTTACTTTGAAGTAGCTTCTTTAATAAGTTGTGTTTTTCACAAACATCAGCCAGCTAAAACATGTCTGGCCTAGATGGTAACAGTACTATTTCATAATCAGTTCCAAGAAGGAATGTGATGACGGGGACCCAGGAGTGCAATATAACAACGAAATCAGTTTCGCTTGGAGAGCCATCTAACTTCTGTAGGTAAAAGTACAGCGTGGAAAACTTCACTATTTTTTACACAACTGCTAGAAATGCGGATCTTGAAGAGGGTCCCCTTTGGTATTGTTAAGTACTATTATAACCGTTGATGGTGAATCCTGTAGGCGCCCTCCCAAGTTCGAAGCCACTAGGTGCTCGCGATGAATCACACAGTGAATTGGATGAACAGAAGGGAGAACATTTTTGAATGGACAATAGGTCCTTTATGTCTTCCAACCATTGCGGCAGCACCATCTGTTGCACACGTAACTATGTTCTACGTTGGAATGGAGTCTACATTCCGATGGCTATTGAAGGCCTCAAATATAAACTGGCGTTTCGTATGAGTTACCATTTTCCTGGCAAATGGCACCTCGTCCACTAATTTATTGATATTGAAGAATCGGACATACCTCGTTGTCATTTAACTGTAACGCAGTTTCTGGATTGCAGTAAAGTAACTAAGGTACTTTCGATATCCTTAGCCATCGCAGCAATTCGACTCGATGTAGTTGAGTTGCTCAGTGATACGGCGTAAACTTCTTGTAGATTTATGTGCATCAGGTTTGACAGTATTATGGATACCGAAGGCAAGATAATATTTTCTCCAACGTTATGTACACTGGTTTTTGGCAATCAATTTGCTGATTTTATAAGACGCCTTAGATGCATTCACCATATTTTGTCCTGTCAGCAACCATGGCTTTCAAAGTTAGTCTATTTTCGATAATATCCTGCAGCTTTCCGAAACATTCCACAAACTTTCCGCCTTCCTCCTTATGAACACTGTTAAATAACTTTTCAGTTTACTCGGTCCCATACTTTCATTTGAGAGTGTAATGACAAAGTAAACATGTAGAAGGAAAGGGGGTTTTGAGATAATGCGATACATCCAAATGACAGGTATTTTTCATGGAGTATTGACGACACTTCTCCTGGTTTACCGAAGAGCTCATTTCTGGAATATGTCATCGTAGATTGGTACTATGTCATCTGTAGATGATGATTTTTATTCTTTTACTCAATTACATCATGCGTATTAAATAAGGTGATTCGATGAGGCGATGCACGCAGTTAGTGTGCATGGTTGGTGACACTGAATTTCTTCTTCCTTGACCGTGTGTTTATACGACATTTGGAAAGCATCCTTGTAACATCTGTTGGTGGCTACAATGTTAAAATCTAAAAGTGTAGAAACTCTGTTAGTAGAAATCCAAAGGATCTTCCTGAAGATGACTTTGAAAATACCGCGGATAGTTAAAAGGTCTGAAGAAAACGTTTGTCAAAAGCTAATAAAGAAACCAAATGGAACTAAGAAAATGAGTGTCCACTGAACGCACATGGATTACAGGAAAGTTGTAGCAAATGATGACACCAAGCGAAATGAAGGACAGAAGAGAGAAACACGGAGGACCTAGCTAAGCAGTTCAAGAAGCCGGTTTGGGAAAGTCAACAACGAAACGAAAAACGTACACTAGCTGTCACCAAACATGGCGCCTAATGCATGCTGCAAAGGCAGTTGATCACTATGAGTATTAGGAGAAGTATCCTTGTGTACACATAATGTTATATGTACTCACCAAAAAACCAGGTGTCCACCCATATGACGTAAGCAGCCAAAAGTGCCCGCTAATTTGCAAACTTCAACTGAGGTGAATGTTAAAAAACGTTATAATGCTGCGGTCCTCGTGATCTCAAGACCAAGGTTCACTTCAATGGGAATCGCGGTCAAGATTGAGATTGCGCGTCGCAATCCATCCACACAACAAGTACTTCAAAATGACTCTCAACAGCGTCAATAGCTATTTCAACCCAGTCAGAACGAACGAACCTTCTTCAGAGATATTACACCACGCGCGCAGAGTAGCCACTAGGATTCGGAACGCTAAGGGCTAGCGAGACCTAGCCGCCAGACATACACGCGAAATGAGAATGGAGACGAAAAACGTGCAACCACTTGTTGCCGCACTGTGACCCAAATAGAAAAAAAGAACAGCCAGCACATGGGATGTCACGCAGTGGGATTGTCCCGATGGAAATTCAGTGTCCGTGTGGCTTTGTGTGGTAATTGCCGCAGCGCTCTGACGAGAGTTAACTAGGATCACTGTAGCTTGCACAGTCGATGGATCAGTGTTCAAAGTAAAGCTCGGTTGGATCACTGTGTCAGCTCCGCAGCAGGTTTGGTTTTCACTCCTTCGTAAACAGCCACTTGCGCGCACGTATTTCATTTCACGGACCGCTAGTTATCAGAGTATATAAATACGCAGAGAGAAAATATCAGAAAGTCTTTTAAATGAATTATGTTATTTGTGGTATCATAACTCGCTTTTCACGGCTTGACCCCTATGGCCCCCCCGGCTCCCTTAAAACGTTTCTCATCCCAGCGCCTCCCAAGAATTCTCTATGGCTCTCAGTGGGTCAGATGGCTCCCGTTGAGGATGTCTTCTTTAAATCAACAATAACTAGCACCAAGAGTACGAGCAATGCTTGGTCATCCAGTCGGCAACTGGTCTGCCGTTATTTTAATGCCTTTGTTACCTTATTACAACGAGGTTACATATCGATTTGACCGTTAGTACACAATTAATGCTGTCTACTAATGAAAACGGCAAGTGTTTGATCGGATGCCGGGTAAGTAGCCAAATGGGCACTGTTTGGTTGCATCGATAGCTCCAAAACCTAGTAGCCTCCTGTTGTTTGGAGTAAGACGAACCGGCACGAAGTTCCTCTTTGGAGTGATCCGAAAGTTCATAAAGAGGCAACACACGCAACAAAAGCCGGAAACCACGGGGACTAGGTACTTCTACTGAATTCAGCATATCTTTGGGAAATCACATGCTCACACGCTGTGATAACTTGATAATTCGTTTGAATCTCTGTTTTGCTGTTCGCTGTCGGTTGGAAGTCCATTTCAGCCGCCCACACAAGTTCTGTTCCCCTTCCCTCAAGCTGCTGTGTAGGCTCAAGGGAAAACCCTTTGTGTCCTGGCGGTACTTATACGTATCACTTTGCTTAAATTGTGATACTACTTCAGTGCATGCGTCATTCCTGCCAGCATTCACGAGGATACCTTCAATAGCCTTCTGCCAACAATTAAGTAAGGGCCAAAACTCCGATACTTTGCTCTACAGTATGTGTAGTAAAATTTTGAGGTTCAT